ACCAGATAGTCATTTTATTGCTCAGGTAGAAGCTTGGTAGAATTTTTTTATAACCCTTGACTTGTCTGAGAAGTTTCATGTTGCCTTTAAGTTTAGGGGTCCAAGTTGTTACCCAGGAGAACCAGTCACCTATGTTGTAAGGCAACTGGTACAGGGTTTGGAATGGAGGACAGCAGGGGAGGATGCTGTGACTGGTGAGAGACTGATGGAGCATGGGAATCTGGGAATCAATGACAATTCTTAGTGCAAAGATTGATACAAGGAGCATAGGCAATGAAGCCCTCAGAGTAGTGTGAGGATTGCCTCTGTCGTTGGGCATAGCTGTCCTATTTTTGCAAAACACACTGAGGATACCATATGGTAGGATGAATAAGGAAGGCAGAAAAGTATCTCTACTATGATGGTAGAGTGTGGAAATACCTGTGGGAGTGTGTGTGTGAAAAGCATGGTTCAAAAGCGATGGCTACATGGATGGAGCATGGGAAATGCTGGTCCTGTGGACTTGCTCTTCATGGCATGAAGCTGAAAGCTTTGCCTAAATTTGGTTATCTCTGAGCAGTAACATATCAGAAGATACTTGTGCAATTATCTGACATGAGTCCATGCAGCCCCGCCTACCAGTCTCAGGTGCTGGATAGTGTGTCCCTGCTCACCTGCGTTAGTGCTGTTGGAGGAAATATTGATCAAATGTAAATAGAGGAGAGACTTCATGTCAGGAGCTTAAGTGCCTGATACCCATTCTGAGTTGGTGAGGGTAGCACATGGGGTAAAAAGAGGATAGATGTAGGGGAAAGGGTTGGCTCAACCTGAAATAACTCCTGGGATAGAAACTGATCATAGATTTCCTGTTCTAACCATGTTAGGACTGTGCAGCCTTTGACAATGTGAGCATTTCCTTCTCCCAGGAAGAATGGGAGTTCCTTAGTGCAGCTCAGAAGCAACTGTACCTCTGTGTGATGCTGGAGAACTTTGCACTTATAACTGCCATATGTCACACTGTGGTCTTTGCTCATCTTGTTTTTCCCAGAATCAAATTTACCTCTTACTACTACTTGTTGCCTCGGTTAACATTCCCAGTATTTTCATGGGTATGTCGTGGTTGCTACAGCTGAGCCATCTGCACTTCCCTGAGCTGCCCTAACGACTGTTGCTATAATAACTACAAGTACAGATTTGGAAGATAGATGTATGTCAGTCAGCTTTATAGATGTTGCCTTGGTCACCTGCTCCCTGACTGGGTGACTGCTTAGGTCAATATGCTTTGTTCTGCTCACTTCTTCCTGACGTTTCATTACCATCTCTGTCTTGAGAATCACCAGGTATTGTTATGATCAATGTCCACATGGCCCATGGGCTATTCTGCCAGAACTCCTCCGTATTGTTTATAATATTGCTTTTCTTTCCTTTGGTTTCTTGTGTGCTGCATTGCCCAGGGCCTCTCCTAGTAGCTCATCGGCCCTGCACCTATGGTGTTGGTTGTGTACCTCTTCTAAACTGTGCAAGTTAAGTGTTGGAAAAATCCTGGTTGGTACATCAGATAGACATGGAAAGATGATCTCAAAAATGCTCAGTGCAGTTGAGGAGCACCTGGTGGAGGTCATGACATCTGGGATGTTTTCCTATCAGACTAGGAAACTGTCTTATGGCTTTAGTGTCTGTCCTGCAATGCACTGTGCACTAACACTGTTCTGCAACAGTGAGCAAAAACTAATATATTTTGAGGTGGAAATATATCCTTATATATTATCCTAATGTTGTTGGAGTTATTTTGCCCAACATTGACTCAAGGAGTCTTTAATACAGCATGGACTTTTCACCTACTGGCAAATTTTTACTGAATAAGATTGTGTGGTGAGTTTGGTAGGTTTCATGGATAATAGTACCATGAAGTGGCAGTGCTTGAGTATGTTTGCTGTTCCTGCCTGTCCCCTAGCTCATCTTCCTCTCATGTTTCTGGTGACATTTGCAAAATTCTACTGGATCTTACGAGGCCCAGTTGTGTGAAGGAACCCCTTCTTCAAATTGAGCCCTGCTTCCACATCCTGAAATGATCCTTATTGTGTGGGTGTGTACACTGGTGATACAGTGCACACTTCCCACATGCAGTTCTTGTGTTCATCCCAAGCACCCCCCAAAATTTTAATAATATTTTTGGATATTTTCAATCTTATGACTTGGTTCTGATCCCACCAGTGTCTACCTGTGTGTTTCATTATTATTTCTCTGATTTTAGGTTGTCAACATAGAGTAAGTGATAAGGAGGCATCGATGCACAGTGTTTGTCAAGAAGAGGTGTCATACTTGAGGACTCCAAAGGCAGGTCCATCTAACCCAAAGAATCACCCCTGTGACATCTATGGCCCTTTCTTGAAAGACATTTTGCATCTGGCTGCTCCATTTTTGCAAAAGCTGTACAACACTAGTTCATGCACAAGCCTTACCCAGAAGCACCACACTGCAGAGAACCCCTTGAAGAGGGACGTGAATAGGACTTTATTTGAGAAGAACTGTGAATTATTTATCAGGGAAATGGTTAAATTGTGATGAACTTTGGAAGAATTTCCTAGGTTTTTTTTACTTTCTGCTGACCCAGGTGATTCTGAATGATGAGAGGCAAAGCAATGTTGTGTTTGAGGATATATTTCTCCATGGCAAAAGTTATTACAAGTTGGCTAACTGCAGCAAAGCTTCCAGCCATAAAAATATAGCTTTTCATAACCCTAGAGTCCACAATAGAAAAAAATCTTTATGAGCATAGGAAGTGTGACAATATTTTCCATGATGAGTGCTCACTTAGTCAGCACCAGAAGGTCCACAGTGGAGAAAGGCCTTATGAGTGTACAGAACATGGAGTATTCTCTATGCAAAGTGATACACTTAAAGTACAGAACAATTGGGGGTGAGGGGGCAGGAGGAGAAATGACCCAAACAATGTATGCACATGTGAATAAATGAATAATAAAAAAGAACAGAACAAATTTCACACTGGCAAAAGGCCTTATGATTGTACAGAATGTGGGAAGACTTATAACAGAAGAAGTTACCTTATGATACACCACTGAATCCACAATGGAGAAAGGCCTGATGAGTGTAGAGAATGTGGGAAATCCTTTAGGTCCGCTCATTGTGTTACTGATCACCAGAAAATCAACACTGAAGAAGACCTTACGAGTGTAGAGAATGTGGGAAGTCCTTTAAGAGGACTTTCTATATTGAAAGGACTTGGTTGTTCTTTTAGTCAAATTAGGTAACATTACATAGAATTAATCTCTGTGTATGTGAGGTGATAGTTATTTGGAACCCTCAAGCCTGTGTACCTCAATAGTCAGTGTGTAATGACTGACAGTAGTTTCTGATAGAGGGTTTAAATAATGTGGATGACTGCCAACGACCACCCATAAAAGAGAACACTTTCTGCTCCCAATTTGTGACCTGGGAGCTTCCATATTTTATAAGGTCAGAGGTCATCTGAGGAGTTGTCACTTTTTAACCCAGGGTTTATTGTATCTGAGTAGTATGAATTTATGCATTATGTTTTATATCAGATGTCACATAATCCCAAGCAATCTGAGAAGCATCATTTCTCAAGGTTATAGAAAGATCTGTATAGTCTAATGTGCATAAGTCCACCAGTTAATAACAGATCAATTCTACAGAACAAGCCATGAGTACATGGGCTTTAGGAGGATGTTACAGAATTAAACTATACCACCAAACATGAGGATGCAAAGACTGTAGTCAACATGGGATTGCTGAACATTAAAAATACTTGGTATAGTGCTAGCATCAAATGCTTCCTGGCAATGTGACACATTGGATTTCACAGCATATTACTAACCCTACAGTTTACACTTATTACATTGGAACATGTGATATTTCACCTGTTTAGGACCCAGTGTCCTTAGCTATGTGATTTAAATTATAACAATGACCTCATTGTGTTACTGGTTAAAACTGGGTTAGTATCTGCAGAGATAAATTCTATTCTGACATCTGTAATGCAAAGTAAGTGAGTACCAAGATATTTCACCTGTTTTTTCATAAGGCAGTTTACCAAGAAACTTGTCAGATGCACACTGAAAATACATTGTGAGCTCCTTTACAAAGAGCATGTCAAGCTACCCCACCTGGCTTTCTTTATATGTGACAAAGTAGACTTCATGCCCAAATTGTACAAGGGGTAATGTGGATCACACATATTGCTAAAGAGGAATTTTCATAAAGAATATACAATTGTAAGTAAATCTGTCCCAAAGGTTCCTTATGAGTAAGCCTGTAGTGTTGTAACTCTCCACTCATGACAATATTCTCTGCTGGTGGAGCCTCAGTGGGACAGTATAGCCGCCTGTATGAAAAAAGAAAATATTAAAATAATTTCTTGATTCTTACCAGATTATAGCATATGAAATTAAAAACCAATAGCAAGAGAAACCATATGCTTACAGAATGAACATATGCTTTTGAATGACCTGTGGGTAATTGAAGAAATGAGGAAATTAAAAAACTGGCAGAATAAAATGTAAAGAAAACCTGAAGTTGAACAAAATCAAAATTAACAATCAACATGAGACTCAGATTGGAGTAAAAAGCAAGATCCAACCAAAAAGTTGAGGACATTCACCAGCTCTTTCCACTACTGGAATGTTGGTGTATTAACTCCACATTGATCCATAACTATGACATAGTAGTAACTCCTGAGCAGGCCTCAAGTTTTCTAACTCACCTCAAAGACTTCATGACAGCCTTGCCTTCCGGTGGAGAAGCCTCAGTGGGAAGGTGGAGCTGCCATTTGAATCCGTACCTTTAGGATTCAGTGGAAGCCCTGAAACTGAGCCAAAGATGGCATCCTCAGGAGCAACCTGGATGTCAGGACCTCTGTTTGGCCTGGAGTCTTCTCTCTTGGTCCTAAAGAAACCTATGAAGTGCCCCAGTGTCACCCCAGCTCTTCAGTCAATAGTGCATTAAGATTAATACATAGTGTTTATTTGCCTTCTAGGCATGCTTGCTGTTTGAATGAATCTATGCATGGTGTGACCTTTGGATCAGTAGCCTTTAGGAGCATCTGAAATGATATCTTCAGCTTCTTGGAGCTTCCAGTGTTGCTTGGCATGAATGACATATCTGGTAACTTTTGTGTACTCATTTGTAGAGAACTTCCCAGAAATCTGCTTGTGGCCTCTTTAAGAAAGTCTCATCCTTACTAAGGTCTCCACTGCCATGTCCAGTGCTCCTCCATTCTTGTCCATCTATGCTAAGGAAAGGACAATACACACTAGAGCTGTGGTGCCCGGGATGGTATTGTCCCCATTGTGATTTTACCAGTGAACTTTCTCAAAAGGGTCTTTCTTATGATTGTATGGATTGTTCTAGGTTGGACTTTTGATGTCCTAGTAGTTTCAGAAATTTTAGCAGTTCTGGGGTCAATCTGCTAAGCAGATTTTTGGAACTGTGTCCACCAAGAAGTGGCATGAGGGCAAGGTCCCACAGGAAAGGTTATCTGTACCACACAGCAGTGGTAGAGTGTGCTGGTTCACCTGTAGTGTCTTACAGCTGCCATGCTGAGGGACCTGGCTTGGGATTGGGTCACATAGTCAGGGACCCACAATATCAGTGCATCTCAGTATAGGACCTGGTTGACATACCTTGCATTGTCACCAAATTTTAGGTCCTTCCCTTCCAATTGGTGAGAACACAAATTTATTTATTTATTTCTTATATTTAATCATTTTGAGGATATCAATTTAAACCCTTGTTTTCTCAGGTGGGAACACACTGGACACTTGGAGCATTTTACCTTCATTCTCAGTGCACCAGGAGCCATATGAACAGAAGTACCAGGTCTACATTAGGCTTTTCAAGGTTTGCCAAAATCTGCTCCCAGTTAAAAGAAGGCAGATGATGACACTGAAATACAGGGAAGTTGATTCTTGTTTAGTTTCTCAGAGCACTCCAGAGTCAGCACTGAGGTCTGAGGCTCAGCTAATTCCATGATCCTGGCCTCCTTGATCCAGGGAGGAATGAGCCTGTGGAGGCCCTTTCAGTCATCTAACTATCACATAACATCAACTTCCTTGTCTACACAAGTGCCAACCAGGTGTGGCCCCTAAACACCTGGTTGGCACTGAGTGGAGGATAGTCTTGTTCTTCCTTGCCCTGATCTTACATACTGTCTCTGGATTGTGTCTGGCAGTCTTCTACCACTGTTTCTGCCTTTGAGCCTAGGGACTATGAAAGGTTGTAATTCCAGTCACACTGTGTAAGGCACAGTGGCTTGCATTGCTTGCAACTAGTAAAATGAAGGGTGGAAGGTTATCCCAGGCACAGATGTCAGAATGTAAATACAGAGAGGTGAGGCTCAACTGTTTCTGGAGACCACAGGATCTTTTTCTCATGAATTCTGAGAATGTGGGTGTGGCAGATGGACCTGGAATGACTGTAGAAAGTCAAGATTTTATTGTGGAGATGATGGGAGAAATGTAAGGTTGTCACAGAGGAGGAAGGGGGTCTGTCCCTGGTCTTAGAAGGTCAACAGACTGTGGGGTATGAATGAGGTAATTGCAAGTTTGAGTCAGATTCTGCTGCAAAGGTCCAGGTAATGTTTGATGGTGAATTGAGCAGTGTGGTTGGTGAACAATTGGGAAATGTGTATGGATCCTGGATCTCTTGATCAATTAGGTATTTCTGGTGTCAGAGGAAAAAGATTTTTAATGGATTTATTATAGGTTCTAGTGTTCAGAAACACTTCATTCTGTAAAATAGATTAAGTGTTCATTGGACTGGGTAAAGATGTTGGTTTTATATATAGACGAAAAAAGCAGAACCAGATGCCAGTCAGTTACACCTGTAGATTTGAGGAGGATTGCATTTCAAATCCAGCCCAGACAAATATTTCAAGATACCCTATCTCAAAAAATAACCAATTGCAAAAGTGTTAGCCAAGTAGCTCAAGTGATAGAGCAGCTGCCTAGAAAGCATGAGACCCTGAGTTCAAACCCCAGTACTGTCAAGGGGGAAAAAATCTGAGACAAAAATGTAGGTTGGTGATTCCAAAGTTGCATTCCTTATAAGATGGACAGGGAGACAAAGTAGGAATAGCTGATTAGTTAACATCAGGTTATTTCAGGTTACTTTTTATTTTTAACTTTTTCTTTTTCGTGGTACTGGGGTCCTCTATCATTTGATCCACAACTCCAGCTTAGATTACTTCTTTATGTAAGGATTAAGTTCATTATCATGTCAGCAGAAACTGGTCTTACTGGAAAATTGGCCAAACACCGGACTTTATAATTTCGAGGTGGATGTCAATAGTGAATCTCAGTTTTCTGGATTTTAGCAGTTATAAAGAGAAAGTCAGCTGTAGGAACAGTTTTAGTGGAGATATATAGCCATTGGATTTTCACCATCATAAGAGTATGAATCAATAACATGATTTAAAGAAAGAGTGTGAAATGTTTCAATGAAACATTAATAGAAATGTGAATAGGGCAGGTGTCTGTGCAGCTGTGGAAATCTGGAGAAATCCTGAGACATCAAAAGGTGTCTGCCTTGGTGTGTTTTTGTGACTCTTGATTTCAGTAAGAAGGGGAATCCTTATCATGCAATGACTGTGCTCTTACCAGCCTTGAAAGGTTATGTCGATCTGGGTTTCAAGTACAGCACAGGGATGGGGAGTGGAGTCCCTTCACAGAAACAGGCATGTGAGAGAAGAGACCATGGTTACCTTCTAATAGCCAATGTGATCTTACAGGTTGCCAGGGGTTTCAAAGGATGAGGTCTTTGAGCAGGAATAATAGGCCTACAATAACTGCTGGGAGTTGCACTTTAATCATAGTCTTTTTATTCACCCATCTATGGACTTGGTAGAATTTTGTTACAACCTTTGAAGTGTCTGAGAAGTTACACATTACATAACTCTAGGGGTACAAATTGTCACCTAGGATAGCCATTTGCCTATGGTGGAAGTCGACTGGCACAGGGTTTAGAATTGAGGATACAAGGTGAGGATGTTGGGACCAGAAAGAGATATCAAGAACACCATTACTGATTAGGGCCATGGGAGTCTGGGAATCAAATACAGTTCTTAGTGGCAAAGCTTGATGCAAGAAGCACAGGTATCATAGCCTTCAGAGTAGTGTGTGGTTGCCTCTGACAGTGGGCACAAGTGTGTCCTATTTGTGACACCCACACTGTGGATATTGTATGCCTACGTGAATAGGGAGGGCAGAGAAGAACCTCTATTTACAGTGTTAGAGGGAGGAAATTGCTGGGGGAATGTGTTTGAGAGAGCTATGGTCCAAAAAGTGATGTGCATCTGGAGGAAGCATGTGGAATGCTGGTTCTGTGGACTTGCCATTGGTTTCACAAAGCTGAAAGGTGAGCCCACATTAGGTTATCACTGAGCAGTAATACCTGGAGTACACTTGTACAATTGACTGACATGAGTGGATATAGCCCTATGAGCCAGTTTCAAGAGTTAGATTATATCTCCCTGCTTACCTGTATTAGTGCTGTTTGAGGAAACAACGATCAAATATACATAGAGGAATGTCTGTTCTTCAGGAGCACTGGTATCCTCTCTGAGATGGTGAGGGTGACACATGGGTAAACATAGGATGGATGTAGGGGAATGGGTTGCGTCAATGTGAATCACTACTTGGAGAGAAGCTGATGTTAGATGTTCTGTTCTTACCATGGCAGAGCTGTGTGACCTTTGAGATGTGGTCATTTTCTTCTCCCAGGAGAAATGGGAAATCCTTAGTGCAGCTCAGAGGTTCCTGTACCTCCATGTGATGCTGGAGAACTTTGCAGTTGTATTCTTCATAGGTAAGTCCATCACACTCACTCATACTCTGGTCTTTGCTCACCTTCTTTTCCCCAGAAGCAACTCTGCCACTCTCACTACTGGTGGTTGAGCTCTGCTAACTCACCCACTTTTTTCTGTGTGTGTTGTGGTTGCTACAGCTGATCTCTGTACACTTTCCTGAGTAGCCCTAACAGCTGGTGCTATAATGAGTTCAACTTATAGATTTGGGAGGAACATGTGTGGAAGTCATCTTAATCAGGTCTCTCTTGGTCACCTGCTTCTCACCTGGGTGACTGCTTAGTTCTATATGACTTTTTCTGTCCCCTTTCCTGACATTTCCTACAGCTGCCAAAGTATCACCAGGAACTGTCATCATTAATGTCCACTTGGCCATGAGCTATTCTGCCAGACCTTCCAGTCTTCTCTGTAATATTGTTTATCTTTCCTCTGTTCCCTTGTGTACTGAGTATCCCTGGGCCACTGCTCACCTGTCTCCCTATAGTTAGTTGGTTCCTGTCCTAAACTGTGCAAGAGGGTTGCTGGTAAAGTCCTGGTTGCTCCATCAGACGAACATGGAAAGGTGATCTCAGAAGTGCTCAGTCCAATTGAGGGGCACCTAGTGGAGGTCATAACATCTAGGCTGTTTTCCTATCAGATGAGGAAACTGGCTTAGTGTCCTATCTGCAATCTACTGCTCCCTCTGGAACATTCTCAAACAGTGACCCACACCTAATGATACTTGAGTTGTGAACATATACTTAAATATTGCCCAAATGCAGTTTGAGTTGTTTTACTGGACCTAGACTCAGGCAGTCTTTTTTTTTTTAACTTTTACTTTATTCGGTAGCATATTAAAAGTTGTACCAGGGATTCATTGCGACATATAAAATTGCTTGCAGTATATCTTAGTTAGATCACCTGCTTCATATTTCTCCTTTTTCCTCCATCCCCTTTTCTTAGAGTTGCTTCAGTATGCGTCATTGTTTGATTTTCATGCATGATCAGCCTTTTTTAAAAGAAATTTTTATTATGACATTGTAGTACTGGGGGCATTTTGTGACATTCACAAAAGTTATACAGCATGCTCTTCTTACCAGCTGGCAAGTTCTTTTTTTTAAGTGTTGGGGTTTGCCCTCAGGGCCTACACTTTAAGCTATTCCACCAGCCTTTGTTTGTTTGGTTTTTTGTGGTACTGAGGCTTGAACTCAGGGCCTTCAATTTGAGCCACTCCACCAGTCACTATTGTGATGGATATTTTCAAGATAGGGTCTCAAGTATTTGCCCAGGATGGCTTTGAACCAAGATCCTCCTGATCTCTGCCTCCTGAGTAGCTAGGATTATAGGTGTGAGCCTCTGGTGCTTGACAGCTGGCAAGTTTTTACTGAATAAGATGATGTGGTTTATTTGGGAGATTTCATGGATAGTAGTAGTATGAAGTGCCAGTCTTTAAAGGCTGTTCACGGTTCCTCCCAGTCCTCCAACTCATCCTTGTGTGCTGTGATTGATTATGTTTGCAAGATTCTACTCTGTACTCCCAGATCTATGAAGCAACCCCTTGGGGTGGGGAGAGGATTGAGGGGGAGAGAGGATGGGGGCAATGTACATAATGTACAATACAAATCTAATTGGAATTGTTACTATGAATCTCCCCCCTACCCCATACAATGAATATATCCTAATAAAAATTTATAATACAAAAGAAAGCAAATGGATAAATTTCTAGATGCACTACCAGCCACAACTGAACAAAGAGGATATAAACAACCTAAACAGTTCTGTAATTGCTAATGAGATGAGGCAGTAATAGTCTCCTCATGAACAAGAGCCCAAGACTAGGCAGATTCCCTCCTGATTTCTACCAGGCTGTTAAAGAACAAGACTGCTCCCTAAACTATTCCATAAAAATGGGAGGAATGCTACCAAGCTAATCATAAGAAGCAAGGATTTCCCTGATATGAAAACTGCATAAGGACTAAAGAAACAAGGACAAAAAACTATAGACCAATTTGTTTGATGCTTATAGATGCAAATATCCTTAAGAAATACTTGGAAACCAAATACAACAATACATTAAAAACATGATACATCACAGAATGTAATGTACAACCACTATGAAAATCATTATGGAGGTTCCTCAAAAAACTAAGAATAGACTTTCCTTACGACTCCACCACCCACTCAGGGCACATATCCAAAGGAGGATGAATCAATATAAAAAGAGACACCTGCATGCCCATGTTTATTGCAGCACTATTCACAATAGCCAAACTGTGGAAATAGACGAGGTACCCTCCAACTGATGAATGGGTAAAGAAAATATATACCTAGAAGAGTGACCTGATAATAATGAGCATGATTGTAAATGGGGGGCTGTATGAAGGAGTCAGCAGGAGGAGGGCGGGGACAGGACAGCAAATGGAGGTCTGAAGAGGACTGAAGTACACTACATATATACATACAAAGACATAATGAAACCCACCATAAACTTTGAAAAATGGCAGAAGAGGGATTGGGAAATATAATGGAGGGGGTGAGCTTTTTAAAGTACACTATAGGCTTGCATGGAATTATCACAATTATATTATCCTAATTCAGAATAAAAATTTAACAAACTAGAAATATGCTATCTTTGAAACTTGAAAGAATCCATTTATTACAGGAGCTTAATTAAATGAAATTGTACAAGAGAAAGAAAAAACTGCAATAAATAAGTTGGGTTGAATCAAGGTATGCAAGCATGATTCAACATACACAAACCAATAAATGTTATGTTGCATATGAATAAAATCAAGGACAAAAATCACATGATCATCTCAGTATATACAGAAATACAAACAAGAAAGGATACACTCAACTTGTCCCTGTGTGCACATGATATGATCCTATATTTAAAAGACACTGAAGTCTCCACTTGAAAACTTATGGATGATATACACTTATGCATAGTAGTAGGATACAAACCAACCTACAAAAATCTGAAGCATTTCTATAATGGCAGTAACAAATAAAGAAATGAAGAAAAGAATCCTATTCACAAGAGCTTTTATCAAATTCATTGGTGCTTTGCAAGCACAAAGCCCTGAGTTCAAACCCTAGTCCCATCCCATAAGAAAAATATCCTTGGAATAGCTAACCAAGGAGGTAAAAATTCATCTGTAATTAAACTATAATGCACTGAATAAAGAAATTGTAGAAGATTTATCTGAGATCTTTCTGTCCTTTTAATATATGCAGTCATGGCTATAAACTTTCCTCTTAGGACTGCCTTTGCTGTATCCCATAGGTTCCGGTAGGTCATGCTTTCATTTTCATGAACTTCCAGGAACCTTTTAATTTCTTCTTTTATTTCATCTATGACCCACTGATCATTATTGAACAATGTGTTGTTCAGCTTCCAATTGTTTACATATTTTCTGCTGTTGTTTTTGTTGTTGAATTCTAGTTTTAATGCATTGTGATCAGATAGAATGCATGGGATTATTTCTATTTTCTTATATTTGATGAGGCTTGCTTTGTGCCCTAAGGTATGATCAGTTTTGGAGAATGTTCCATGGGCTGCTGAGAAGAATGTATATTGTGCAGATGTTGGATGAAATATTCTGTAGACATCAGGTAGGTCCATTTGTTCTATGGTGTGATTTAGTTCTATAATTTCTTTATTGACTTTTTTGTTTGGATGACCTATCTATTAGTGATGGGGGGGTTTTAAAGTCTCCCACTGCCACTATGTTGGAGTCTATGTGTGCTTTTAGGTCCTAAAGGGTATATTTGATGAAATTGGGTGCACTGACATTGGGTCCATATAGGTTGATAATTGTTATTTCCTTTTGGTGTATTTCTCCTTTTATTAGTATGGAGCATCCATCTTTATCTCGTTTGGTCAATGTAAGTTTGAAGTCTACTTTGTCTGAGATAAGTATTGCTACTACTGCCTCTTTTTGGGGGCCATTGGATTGGTAAATCTTCTTCCAGCCTTTCACCCTAAGCCAGTGCTTGTTTCTGTCAATGAGAAGGGTCTCCTGTAAACAACAGATTGTTGGATCTTCCTTTTTGATCCAGTTTGCCAAACAGTGTCTTTTGATGGGGGAGTTAACAAATGGGGGAGTTAAGAGAATGTTAAGTCTGTTAACATTCAGTGTTAATATTGATAGGTATGTGGTGATTCCTGTCATTTAGTTGTTTTTGTTGTTTTGTTGGATTGTGTGCAGCTGAATCAATGTTACTCACTGATTCCTTGTCTTTTCTTCTCCTGTGGTTTGGTACTGCCTGTCCTTTCATGGTTTTGTTTGCTTTCATTTTCTGTGTGCAGAATTCCTTGAAGAATCTTTTGTAGTAGTGGCTTGGTGGTCATATATTGCTTTAGTTTCTGCTTATCATGGAAGACTGTTATTGCTCCATCTATTTTGAATGGTAGTTTTGCTGAGTAGAGTATCCTAGGGTTGAAGTTATTTTCATTCACTGCCCAGAACATCTCACTCCATGCCATTCTTGCTTTTAAGGTTTCCGTTGAGAAATCTGCTGTGATTTTGATGGGTTTGCCTTTGTATGTTATTTGTATTTTTCTCTCTTACAGCCTTCAATATTCTTTCTCTATTCTTTGTGCTTGTTGTTTTAATGATAACATGTTGTGGGGAGTTTCTATTTTGGTCAAGTCTGCTTTGTGTCCTGGAGGCTTTCTGTACCTGAATGGGCATAACTTTCTCTAGATTTGGGAAATTTTCTGTTATTATTTTATTGAATATATTACAAATCCCTTTTGCTTGGATTTCTTCTCCTTTTTCAATGCCAGTGATTCTCAGGTTTTGTCTTTTGATGGAGTCAGTGAGTTCTTGCATATTCCTTTCACAGGACTTGAATTGTTTGACTAATAGCTCTTCAGTTTTTCCTTTAATTTCCATTTTATCTTCAAGTTCTGAGGTTCTGTGTTCTGCTTGTTCTAGTCTGCTGGAGTGGCTTTTCACTGTTTTGTGTTTCTGTTTCATTCTTTTTTCTGAGGTTTTCCATATCATGGGTCACTTATTCTTTA